TTTACTCATATATATATATATATATATATATATATATATATATATATATATATATATATATATATATATATATATATATATATATATATATATATATATATATATATATATAGGCTTCGAATCCGGTGCACCCCCTTTGATAAATGAGGTCATGAGAACTCATGCTATCCATTGATTAATTTTCCATCAATGGTTCAGATAATTAGAGATTATTAAAAGAAGAAAGGATATATATTAACCAAAAGGATTAAACTATAATTGTACTTATTGAACTATTTATGGCATTAATTGTAATGGAATCTTAAGCATTAAATTAGGGATATAATGTATGGTAATTGAGGAGATAGATCATTTCATCAACAGCATACACGTAGTAAACTTTAAACGCGTGAATGATACTAATAGTGCAGAAGGACGAGAGTCAGAAAACGCAGCACAGAGAGAACTAAGAAACACACTTCAATAATGGCTGGACCAAGCACAGGTATTTGCATTTGTTCATAGTGGAGTGTGCGTAATATATGTATTTGCATTTCTTACTGGTTTTGTTGACTTGATGAACGACCGACGAAATACCGGTATCTTTGAACCTCTCGAAGCAGCATTTATGTGTAATCGTGGATGCATACTAGCGTCTGTAACCCTTCCGGCTTTAGTACGTCATGTATATATAATGGGAGCTTAGGGGTCGGGTTCGTGGAGTAACAATAGGCAGTGCAGTATAGATGATTAGATACTATGTCGGTGCGTAGTCGTGTGTTGGTCTATGCATATTAGTCGTGTGTTGGTCTATGCAAGTTAGGGTGTGGTTTAGTTGATAATTGGCGCTATTAGTTATATTTTCCGGCCTTCTTCATTTAGGCTTTGTGCGTTTTTCTTGTTGGGTCGAAGCGCCTACATTTACTTATAACCCTCACGTGAACAAACTATTTTTTTTCTTTTTTTTTAGGCGGGTGCACCACTGTTTTCGTGTTGATGCGTTTTTTGGGGGTTGCCTTGTTTGGTGTGGTTGTTTGTGCGTAGCAGTGTCTTACCGTGTGCAAGATAGGGTGTGGTTTAGTTGCTAATTGACAATATTATTTTTATTTTCCTGTCTTTCTCATTTAGTTTATTTGTGTTTCTGTTGTTAGGTTGATGCGTTTGTGTTGTTTGGTTGGTGCGTGAACCAAGCGATTCATGAGCAAGAAGGTTTAATTAAAATTAGATGACCTAAAAATTAATTGAGAACTAGATCCGTGTGTAAATTAATTTAGTTCTAGATACAGACATTTGCTTTGTATCACTTACCCCCTGAATAACATTATTGCACAAACTGATTAAAATAACGAAGGGGGAAATAAAAAGCAACCACGTCGTAAAAAAGAAAAACGGGAAACATCTAAATCACGGGAATGTTGACATTGTAAACCGTAAACCAAACAAACGTCTAGGAGCAAAAAACAATCACACTAAAATACAGTTTACATGGGAAGAAACATCTAATGGTTTATTCCGGCGTTGGTTGTGCGGGTTCATCAATAACAGCAGCAACCGCAGCCTGGGGCAAAGGATCAACCACATTGGCAGCACCTACCGGCTCAGCAACTAAGCAACTATCCGCTCAGGCGCAACAGCAACAACCGGCGCAGAAGGATCATCGCTTGGTAACGGCAAAAATTAATCAGAGTTACACCCAAAAAAATGAAAAAGAAAAAAAAATAAAACACAAGCCCGAACCCCACACTGTTTAACTGTTCGTTTTTTAAACAAAAAACAAAGTCATTACAATTTATACAACTAAGTAACCAAAACAAGCAAATAATCCAAAACCATGTTAGTGCTAACAACAGAAATGCACCCACCAAACTATAAAAACGCACCAACCTAAATGAAAAAGACACGAAAATATAAATAACAGTGCCAAATAGCAACTACACCACAACCTATCTTGAAACGGTAAAACACTGCTAAGCACAAACCACCACACCTAAAAAGCATCAACACAACAACAGTTGTGCACCAGCCTAAAAAAAAAAAAAAAAAAAAAAAAAAAAAAAAAAAAAAAAAAAAAAAACCAAGCAGTAGCAATTCCCCAAAGAACTTAAGGGACATCAGGGAGTAATCATGAGAAAGAAAATAGTTTGTTCACGTGAGGGTTATAAGTAAATGAAGGCGCACCGACCCAACAAAAAAAAAAAACCCACCAAACCGGCCTAAATAAAGAAGACATAAAAATATAACTTATAGTGCCAATTATCAACTAAACCACACCCTAACATGGAAACGATAATACACTGCTACGCACAAACTACCACAACTACCAAGGCAAACCCCGAAAACCCGACCGATAAACAAAAAAACACGTACCAACAAAAAAGCAGTGGTGCACCCACCTAAAAAAGAAAAAAACAACAACAAAACAAGCATTAGCAATTCCCCAACCACACTTTAAATCTAAATTGCACACGGTCACAGACACAAACGCACAAACCACCACCAATAGACGAGAACCATCCCGAACCCCTAAAAAATAAAAAATAAATTAAAAAGCACGCACCGACCGAATACCATACGCGCACCAACCTGCACAAAAGAACATACTTCTAGTGCCCAAATGAAAACCCCCGTTAAAAAAACTAGTGCAATTTAGCTTGTACATTAGACTCTAACTTGCACAAAGGAACATATTGCTACGCACAAACCTATGCCACCCGATTACGTAAGTCCAAAAATCCCAAAAAACTAATAGTGCCAATTATCAACTAAACCACACCCTAACATGGAAACGGTAATACACTGCTACGCACAAACTACCACAACTAACAAGGCAAACCCCGAAAACCCCGACCGATAAACAAAAAACATGCACCAACAAAAAAACAGTGGTGCACCCACCTAAAAAAGAAAAAACAACAACAAAACAATCATTAGCAATTGCCCCACAACACTTTAAATCTAAAATGCACACGGTCACAAATACAACGCACAAACCACCACCAATAGATGAGAACCATCCCGAACCCCTAATAAATAATAAATAAATTAAAAAGCACGCACCGACCGAATATCATACGCGCACCAACCTGCGCAAAGGAACATAATGCTAGTGCCCCAAATGAAAACCCCCGTTAAAAAAATTAGTGCAAATTGGCTTGTACATTACACTCTACCTGCACAAAGGAACATATTGCAACGCGCAAACCTATGCCACCGATTAGGTAAGTCCAAAAATCCCAAAAAACAACAAAAATAAATACACAGACAACAATACAAGTTATGGAACCCGCATACGTACAAAACCGAAATAAAACCAACATTGACAAAACTGACCACACTTGACCCCTAACATGCACAAACCGACCACCTACAACGCAACAACCACCGCCCCCAAAACCAGTAAGCCACCACCCCATCATGAAAAAAGTGGAAACAGAAAACCATAATGCATATTACAACTCCAGACAGTATCATAGTAAACAATTGGACCCATATGCATTTACCCCACCAATAAATCCAAAACCCAAACCCCATTCTAGGTTGGAAAAAAGACAAGGGAAGACACATACAGCCAAAAAAACCTACACATAAAAAAACATGAAAAGTAAACATGTCACCACTACAAAAAAAAAAAAAAAAAAAAAAAAAAAATCGCCACAAGCCAATTACCCACAATTTGAAGCCTCGTACTCCTAATAAAAAAAAATTGAGCAAATACTAAAACCAAAATACACATTGCATGAAATAAAAATAAAATACACATTACAGTCTCATAAACGAAGCAACATCGACCCCATTAATACCACAACCGATTATAAAAGAAAAAAAAAAAAGAAAAAACAACAACAAAACAAGCATTAGCAATTCCCCAACCACAGTTTAAATCTAAATTGCACACGGTCACAGTCACAAACGCACAAACCACCACCAATTAACACCCACGCTACCGCCCCCATCCATGAACAGCGGGAAAAAAAAAACAGAAAAAAAAAAACCAGGCAAACATTCTCCCAGTCTCGTAAATGAAACACCATCAACCCCATTAATACCCCAACCGATTAGAAAAAAAAATCGAAATCCCTAACCCTATTAATACCCCAGAATTCGACCAGCGACAACAACACACTCGCTGCCCACCACCCTTACTCGAATCGACGACCACCATCCTTAAACCCGAGATGAAAATACCGAAAAACTAAAGCGCCCAGAGGAACTACGACCAAAATAAAAATACAAAAATCCAAAAACTCACAACCACTCTGGCCGGTAAAGAACGCCGGTTAAAACCCCACCATGGAAAACCAAAAATGCGACCGGATAAAGAACGACAAAATAAAAGAATGGATGAACATAATACCGGTATTTGAAGCAGAAGAGATTCCCCTAAGCCTCTTGGACAGCCTCCTACTTGAACCAGCCATGAAGAAACCGCAACTTTGAGTACGCCGGAGAGATTATGCGAAGTGTTGAAGACGCGGGTGAAGAAGGAACGAGAGCTGATGGGAAGCGGAAGAGACCGGGAAAGAAGACAGCGGAGATAACAAGACAAAATTCCTATTTTATCTATCTACTCTATTTACCAAATTAACTCCGTTAATATGCGTAGACATAATAAATGCCAAATGAAAATTACAAAACAACCCCTAAAACAATCACACGCGTATTCCGTCAACATACCATCTGACCGTTCAAAAAAAACCCATCAACGACCAAGAAGAGTGCTCACGAGCTCATCTGCCAAGGGGGTGTGCACCGGATCCAAAATTTATATATATATATATATATATATATATATATATATATATATATATATATATATAAAATGAGCAGGCCAAATATGAATACTAAACATGCTAACAAGTGTGTGTATATTAAATTAAGCCTCGCCTGGTCGTCTTTCTTTTTCTTCTGATTTTTCTGATTCTTTTGTGTCTGAATACTGTGATTCATCATAGCAATTGGATCAATTATGCAAACGGAATGAAGAACATTAAAACAGGTGAGAAATTGAAATATTAAACAGATTTTGCAAAGAAAATAAACAAAAGAATGAAATAAGAGAAACATATCCAACATACCCTTAAAGCCTTGCCGTCAACAATAATGTCAGGTACCCAAAATTTGTTGTGCCTCATCTCTTGATATCTCTTGGCAGAAGTTGCAACAGCAGGAGGACATTGCTCCAACTTAATTGACTGCAACCGGTGCGTTATTGCACTTACAAGAGGGATCTCTTCTAGAGAATAACAACGTTTTAAGAATATGTAATCAAGCTTTGGGAAATGATTACTAGTATTGACCACCCATCGCTCAAGACTTCTGGATTCAACCTCCAACTCTTTTAATTAAGGGAATCTTCCTTCAACCAGTTCCCACACTCTGTCATAGAAAGCATTCTCTAGTTTCAGCACTTTAAGCTTCGGTAACTGCCCAATTACCGTTAAAACCTTCGATGGAAAATTAGTCCCACTCAACCTCAACTTCTTCAATTTTGCTGGAAAACCAAGCCGCTCTAAAAGGGTTATACTACCAACTGGAACCATAACCGTTAGAGTCTGCAACCTCAATAAATCCTCAAAATTCTCCAAAATGATTATAGGATTTCTACAACATCGTCCACCGCTGCAACCAGACACTAAGACATCTTTATACACAACTTTCAATTTTCTTATGCTTGGAAACCTGCAATAATACACTTCTTTTTTCCTGAAATGAATTGGCATTGCACAAACTAATGTTTGCAAATTCTCTTTAACCATATTTGGAGGTTCTATCATATACATATCCCCAAGTTTGAGATGCCTTAAATGTTGTAGTTCCCAAATTTTGGATGGCAATAAATGAAGAGTACGTTCTCCAAGTGTTGATTCATCAGTGCCATAAACAGTAAGTGTTTGTAAATTTGAATTTCTTGATACTACATCATCAAAACTATCAAACCACTGTGGTATGGAAAGATATCTTAAAAAAAAACTAAATTCCTTAAGGGCAATAATGGCAATCTTTTGAGTATTAGAGATTCACTCAAATCTAAAATTCTTAAATGTTTGAAAGGTATAAACCTTTCAAAACCTCCCTGAAAGACGAAAATGGAGCGAGGGATATTTGAACTAAACAACACATGATAGTCCAAACTATGTGAGCGTAAACTTAACCAGCGACATGAATTTGCGAGTATGTCTAATGACCATCCAATACATTGTTGAGTATTTGCTGCACATAAAAAACCTTCTTTTTGAACTTCTCGTACGCAGAAGCTATGCATGTCAATATGTATCTCACAAGTCTTTGGTCTGAAAGAGTACTCATCATCTGTTCTGACTAGTCCTCTACTTTTAAGAGCCCTTAAATACATGTAACCTATATCTTCTAATGGCAGACACCTCAGCGGCTTCACAAATCCCTCAGCAATCCATAACTTAATAAGTCTTTTCACATTGATTTTACTGTGTTTTGGAAAGACCACAAAATATAAAAAACAAACTTTTAAATGTTGTGGCAAACAATTGTAAATGTTGGTAAGCTTACTTGAGTGCTGTGTATCTCTATGCAGAATTCCCAATAACAGTAATTCTTTCTCGATCTTCTTCCATTCCTTCAATGTGTAGTTGCATTTAGATAGACGGTCTGCAACTGTAACAATTGAGCGCGGCAATCCTCTGCATTCCTCAACAAGATTCTTTGCAATTTCTTTAAATTTAGGTGTCATATTCTGTTTAAGAGAAAATCTGTGGGAAAATAGATCCCAACTCTTCTCGTCACTTAGGTAAGGCAGGCTCTTGATATTCGAACTTCTGGTGATGTACTCAGCCACATCAGTGAAAAGAGTGGTTAGCAATATCCCACTTCCATTTGAGTCATGAGGAAAACATTGGTGGATATCATCCCAAAGCTGAGTGTTAGGGACATCATCCAAAACAATTAAATATCTTTGGCATTTCCTCAAGTGTTTGTGCAGTTGGTCTTTTAGTTGAGAAGCAGTGCTTCCCTGCAGCATGTCAATTTCTTCATTGAGGGGGGTTGGCCTCATTGATTGAAGAAGAAGGTGGCACAGTAGTTGTTGCACATTCCCATTGTATCTTGGCGGAATAGTAATCCAAGCTTGAATGTCGAAATGTGATACAACCTCTTCGTCTGTATACAGTTGTTTACAAACAGTAGTCTTTCCAATGCCTGGGGCTCCAAAAATAATTGTGAGTACTCTTCGATCTGAATACCTATATATAAAGGAGACGATGCATTATCGATATAAAGCAATCGTTACTACAAAACATTAGTATATCCTCCTCCTCCTCCTCCTCAAACTGTGGAGAGCATTGAAAGGATCCACCCGACGACGCAATAATCTTGTGAGGGTGCGAAGCTGCAGCTTCTGACCAACCAATCAACGGAAGAAAATCATCGTTGTTGATAACCTTCAGCAACTCTTCTGCCTCCTTTGTTACTTGTTGCAAGCTTCGATGGAGATGGAGTTCACCTTCATGAGTTTTTTGTTGAAGTTGAAGGATGTTTGTGAGTTGTATTTCGATGGCATCTTCAACTTTGAGTGCAAAGTTTCTGATTTTGTTTAGCAGATGTCGTCGGATTGGTGCACCACCCACAGTATTGTTGTATTCCTTCTTCACAAAGGCTTCCATATAAGAGAGCTTCTGAAGCAGAGATTTCAATAATGGCTTTTCATAATCATGAAGAAGCGACACTCTGTGGTTGGGAAGCAAAAATTCAAGCTCAATGGTAGCCATGAGAGAAGTCAATGCAATACAAGCCATCTCTCTTTGTGTATGTTTCTCTCTCGATCGAATCTCTCTCTTAAGTCTGATAGATCTGCTTATTTGTTTTATAATAATTAAGAAGATAGGGAGAAGTGCGCGCAATTGCAATATGGGATCTAGTCAATGCAACACAAACAGCCATCTCTCACTCTTGCACATGTTATATGCCTTAACCGTACCCATCAATTATATATTTTAATATAAAGGGGAGACAGGAGACTAAATAGCTAATTAATATATTACTCTTTCTTTGTTTACTAGTTAGAAGCACATGCACATTCTGAAGCAGAGATTTCAATGGCTTTTATCATCATGAAGAGACACTCTTTGGTTGTGATGCAAAAATTGAAGTTAAATGGTATCCATGAGAGAAGTCAATGCAACAAAACCTATCTCTCTCTGTATGTTTTTATCTCTCTTGCACATGTTTTATGCCTTAACCGTACCGTACCTATCAATTATATATTTTAATATAAAGGGGAGACTAGCTAATTAATATATTACTCTTTCTTCTCCCAAATATATTACTCTTTCTTTGTTTACTACTTAGAAGCACATCCAATGCACTGTAACACTCCCGATTTTCACGACTTTTAAAAACCAATTAAAGCTTAGTAAAGAGATAAAGTCTACTCATCAAGATTAACATAAAGCGGAAGCTAAAAGACAAATACGGGAGATGTTATGCCACACCTATACATCTATAGGTGCACAGGCTAAGTCTAACAACACATCAAAGTCAAGCTTATAAATATCCACGGCTCACAAGCCAAAAGTCTAACAAAGCAGTCATATGGAGCTACACTAACTAACGAACTGCTAGCGCACTCTCCAAAAAGCTACTCAAAACCTGTAAAGCAACATAAAGATAGAGGATGACACCCGGTCAGCGAACATTGCTGGCAACCCATCAATACGCGTTAAATAGCATAAATAGATAGTATAAGCCAAAACCATTTTCGAAACGGAATACAGTACATATCATTTCAAAAGCCATAGAGAAAAGTCAACTTCAAAGACTCATTCACACTCTCAAGGAAAAAGGAAATCAACATCCTTATGACAACAACAAGACAAGAATAACAACTGTAAACAATACAACTCGAGATGTATTCTACTGATCACAAAGTAGAATACATCAAGACATGCTCAACAGCAAAGAAGCACATACACACATTGACAACTACATGCCACAGTGACAACTACATGTCACGAGATTCACAGTTCCAAGTTCCAACCTTATGCCCTGTTCCAACCTTATGGCTACCCCCGGCCTTATTTCAGTTCAAACCATTACCTCCGAGAGCCACCCTGTACTTCTGAGTCCAATCTTATGCCTTCGAGGACCATCGTCCCCCCTCCAACAACCTCCAACAAGACCACCTACACATAAGTACACGAGGGTCATATTCATTTCAATCACACAACCACCAACATATGAGCCTACGCTCAGGTCACATCACCAATTTCAATCATGCCACACGAGGACCGCATCATTATCAGGAAAACCAAGGCCCCATAAACCTTAGTCATGCTTCCCTCAAATGGCACAACAATTACACACGTTCACATCATAGGAATCAATCAATGGATCACAACAAAGATATGAAACCGTATTCAACAGCGAAGGATCACAATCCGACAACAAACGATGGTCAACACAAGTTTCCACCCTCAATAGGAAAGAACAAACCGCACACACTAGCATTTCAACATCAAAATAGCATGCTTATCAAACGGGTAAACCAAAATTAGTTCCATAGAACATACAAGACTCAACATCAATCTAACGAATCACAAAGTAGGACCACAAGCACGATTCAAGGCACCAAATCCTACATGGATTCCTAACATAACGTTCTAGACATACGAAACATCAAGAAGACTCTCAAATCGCCCAATAAAACAACATCGGGAGGTCAAAACATCAATACCGAGTCAAAAGAATCACGGGGAACAAATCCCCGCCAACCAATGTACACGTTCCCCGCGGGTGGGGCCACGGGTGGACCTCCACCCGTGGGTTCAAATGCCCACCACTCATATACCCCGCGGGTGGGGCGGCGGGTGGTGCTCTGCCCGTTGTTCCGCCCGCGGGTACTGACCTGCACACCAAATAATCCCTTTGGGAATTTTCAACAAAAAGTCCAAATTCAAGTCTAAAACACCCAAAATCTCACACAATACAACAATATGACTTGAACCCAAGAAAATAGCCAAGCAATGGCATACAAGAGCCCTAAGAACAAGCTCTAAACATGCATTACCACAAGACAATGTATCAAATCTCACATTTCAACACAAGAATCACAAGTAGAAGCCAAGAAATCATCATATAAGTAATAAAATAGGTTTTGTAAAGCATGGGTTACCTTTGTATCCTAGAACTTCACTTTCTCACCCTTAAAAAGCTTCTCCTAAAGCTCTTCTTCAACACCAACTTCATAAACATACCAAAAGACAACAAAGATTCTATTTTTAGAAAAAGACAACTAAAAGGATGCTAAAAACACCAAGAGATCAAGGATCTTACCCTCCCCTATTCTCAAGATTTGGAAAGTATGAATCTTGGAAGAAAACTTGTAGGATTTAGGATGCCGAAATTTTGGCTTGGAGAAGAAGCTACCAAATTCCTAGAGAGAAGGTAGAGGTTTTGTGTTTAGAGTGTTGGTGGATGAAATGAAAAGATGATGCTAGGTTAGCTTGGAATACAAACTTAAGGTAGAAAGACACCTTTGCCCTTACTAAAGTTGGAAGAATAAGGAGACAAGGGAACAACCCACTAGGCATAAGGTACAACTTTTTTACCTTGTTTGACTAGTCAAATTCTAGTCCTCCGACTATTGAATTTTCAGGATTTTTGGAATAAATTAACAATAAAACTAGGATTAATTATCTAATGAATCCTTAACTAGAGTTTGGATTTACGGGGCGTCACATCCTCTCCCCCTAACAAGAAGCTTCGTCCCCGAAGCTTGGGCACGACGAGTTCAAACAAAACGGGCAACGAGAATCAACAATGTGACAAAGGAAAACAAGGAAAACTTTTGACCAAAACTTCAAGAGTTCAAACGGTGTAAAATTGTCAAGAAGTCAAGACATTGTAAGATTTTAAAAGATCACAAGAGAAATTCCTTGAGCAAAACGAACACTAAAGTCAGGGCACAACCAAAAGCCTCCTAACCACACTACTCCTACAGCTAGATTCTAGCAAAGCAACCCAACTGAACTAACTATTCCAACCACATCTAACAAACAAGACGAGCAAGAGCAAACAACAAAGCACACCCAACAAACGAAAACAACAAAACAGCACAACAAACAAGGAAGAAGGGTAACGAGCTCACCGTACCCCAACACCGAACTAGAAGGACTCACTCTCAGACTCCTCGGCATCTTCGTCTGAGTCTTCCTCGGCCCTACCTCGGCTAAAACCGGCTTCTAACTGATCCAACCTCTCGTTGACAGCGACGAACTGCGTCTTCATGTAAGCAAAGCCTTCCTCTATCATCTGGTTCTGCTGACGAAGAAGGGTGACCACACGTTCCTCGTGCGTCATGGCGTCATGCTCCCTCTTGGTCCTAGCCTCCTTCCTCCTTAGGTTCTCTTCATCCTCAGAGTTGCTCTCTTCGGCTTCTTCGGCTTCTTCTCCACCCTCTTCTTCTTCCTGGTCCTCTTCATCTTCATTCCCGGCATCTCCTCCCAAGCTCTGGACTGCGAGATTTAGCTTCCCAATAGGGATCTCTAACTCTGCAACTAACACACTCCTCTCGGCGGGGGCTTTTCTGGCGACCTCTTCAAGAGTGATGTACTCCCCATCATCAAGCTGAAACAAGTTGCAACTTCGGAGGTTGGTGGCATCCAACACCATCTTACCCACTGGCTTAGGTACACAACCGTCAACACTTACTCCTTTCTTGACGAAGATCCAGTTCAAAACCATGCCATATGGCAAACTCTTGCGGTTATGATCCCGGCAAAATACCATGTGATGCAACATTAATGCCGGCAAGTTGAACTTCACCATATTCTTCAAGCAAAAAGCAAACGTACACTCCAACTTTCCCAACAAACGGCTCTTGTTGTTATTAGGCAGCAAACAGTCAGAAACAAGCATAACCAAAATCCTTTGCTCAGCAGACAACCATTTCCTCTCCGGCCTCGTGGCCTGGGTGAAACCACTAGTCCGACCCAAGAGATAACTGAAGTAATCTTGATAGCTCATGTTGTCCATCCCAATCTAGGAGTCACCACTATACTGCGAGACTCCCGTAGTGGTCAGACTCAAAAGCTGAGCCAACCTTTTCTCAGACATAACAACCATCACACCTCTCACTTTAGAGGTAACCTCCAACTTTCCACCATCTTTAGTCATAGTCATGTGATGGTAGAACTCTTTCACCAAACTTGGGTAAGTCTCGGCCCTGATGGCGAGAAACCCATCCAACAGACCCTGATAATTCAGCATTTCCAACAAAGAACTTGAAAAAGAATCAGGATCAAAGGTTTTACCTTCCAACACCAAGTAGTCGGCATCCACCCATTCTACTCTCCTCGCCAAATTAGACCTTCTGGGCATGATTCTGAGATGACCCAAAGACTCAAGGTAGACCCAAAACTCCTTTTGTAACACCCCGAAATTTTTAAACTTTTAAAACTTATATAATAAATGTAATTCCTCATTAAATCCCAAAATCAAGCATAAGAGTATGGGGTGCTATGCCACACCTGAGCTAGAGAACTCAGGTTCACAGGCTATCTAACTAAAATCCTCAAATAATGTCAATACATAATCATGGCACGCAGGCCGAAAGGGAACTAGCTACTCTACGCCTCGGATCTCTAGCGCGCTCTGGGATCTACTCATCTGTGCCTGAAAGCCAAATATATCTGTTCAGCGAGAGATGCTGGTAACCCACTCCAACGTGTTGAAATATAGTATATATATATATATATATATATATATATATATATATATATATATATATATATATATATATATATATATATATATATATATATATATATATATACAAAAATCATTTCGAAGCAGGAAGATATATATTTAAGAGACGCTAGTTTTAAAACCAGGAATAGACTCAGCAAATACGGATAAGTACATCAGACAACAATAATAACATCATAAGGAATACGCATTTATGGTCACAAGCCACTTCTTAATTCCAATCCACATCATCATCCAATCATCATTCATATCACATAATCATCGATGGCGCCACGGGACCAATCGCATTCCCCGAACATGAGGGTTAATGCCTATAGCATTAACACGGCCCGCAGCACCCTACCTCAGTACCGCGGTACGAGGGGAGTTGATCGCAACCAACCCTTTGAGAACCGCTGACGAACTCATCGTCGGACCACGATCCGACACACCGCTGACGCGCCCAGTCGGTGGACCGCGATCCCCTTTACAAGGGGGGACTTACGACCCTACACACCGTTGATGCGCACAATCGGTGGGCCGTAGCGGATCAAGCCCGACACACCGCTGAGCTAAACTCAGTCGGTGGGCAAAGATCCTCGGAGACTACGGTCCTACATACCGATGTCCCACCACTCGGTGGGTCGCAGCCAGTCGTAGCCCTACACACCGCCTGATTACTCAGGTCGATGGACTACAACCTTCGCCAGCTTGTTGGCCCCATACCGCCTGTCACGTCCCGGTTGGTGGGTCATATCACCGAGGCCCATGTGGACCTTCAGTCCTGTACATAATCTTTATATACCTGACCGGTCTCTACCAGCCTGGTTAACAGTTGGGATGGTTCTCAACCCATTCAACTACCCGTATAGTGGACCTCAGTCCTATATTAATATCCCTGACCGATCTTAACCGGCCTGGTTAACAGTTGGGATGGTTCTCAGCCCATTCAACTGCCCGTATAGCCCAATTGATCTTAACCAAGTTGGGGTCATGCATCACGTAACACACAATAACACATAATAACACATAATTCACATAGGGAAGGGGGGAGACATATAATTAAGCTTACATGTGATCATTCACATACTAATAATAATTCCTAAGGGTTCATATAACTTCCACCTAGGTCCACGGGTTACCAATTCAACTGGCATGCAATTCATAAGACTCGTTTAACCTACGAATGGTACCCGAAATTCCAAACTAGACTCAGGCACGACAAACGGGGTCCGTTGGGACACCATGGGGAACGAGGAACATCAAACGGGGAAGCCGGGGACCCAAGGGGTGGTGTGGACCAGCGAGTAGCCGGTGGGTGGGGGTCACCCGCCGGCAGCCCGGTGGGCACTGTTCCGGGCAGTGCCCTTTTGGGCAGCGGGTAGGTGGTGGGTTCCCCCACCCCACCTACCACCCACTGACTCGTTCGTCACAAATTCGTCCCAGGATCCTTTGTGGAATCCGAAACCATGCTTAGACACTTTTAAACGCAAATAACGACATTACATAAGCAATTACCGGATCAAAAGCAAGAATCATGTAGGACTTATCCTATTACGGCTTCTAAATATAAACAACACCTGAACATGCGAATTCCCACCCAAATATAAATCAAGAACATCCTCAATACGAATTCCCAATCCAACCTAGGGCTCTAATCCCACCCAAATCATCAAGAACATATTTTATTCTTAACATCAAGAAAATATCAAGATTCGTCAAGAATCATCGTATCATAATCAAGAACTTATTTTTAACATCAAGGTCATCAAGATTCTCAAGAAAGCATATAAGTCATCTTATCAATCATCAAGAACATAACATAATTATCATAGAAGAATTCAATCAAGACACAAGAATATAGAGGGAGGCCAAGGAAAGAGATTATAGCGAAGAAAATAGGTTTTGTTGAGACATGGGTTACCTTTTAGCCTTAATTAATCATCCCTTGGCTATTAAGGTTCTTCCCTAAGATTTCCATCCGTTTTGATCTCCCTAGGCTTGGTGGTGGGGAGTCCCTTGGGAATTCTTGTGTGGTGATATTTATTGTGGTGTGACTTCTAGGTGCCTCCTATGTCCTTATATATATATTTAGGAGTCCTAATTAGGGTCTGAATGGTATGGGTTTACTAATTCTATTCCTTATAGGACTAAGGACTTGTTTTAGGGATAAGGGTCCATGGTCCATGTTGGACCATATTAATTAATTAAAGAGAATCCTAACCATAAACTGAATAGTAAAGGTATACTTTCTTTATTCCTAATAGATGTGTAGGCCTAGGATTCCTAATTAGGATCTGGTTAGGAAAATGTTGACTTTCTTTATTTCTAATAGGCTTATGACTCTAGTTTAGGCAAGGGTCCACGATCCGTGGTGGACCACATTAATTAATTAAAGGGATTTCTAATCAAATTAAATCCTTTTTAATTATAATTAATGAAATTAATTAAACAATTAATTCGGGATTAAAGGCCGTAACACGGGGTGTTACACCTTTCTTTCTTCCTCCTCTTCTCTCTCTTACTCTCCCTCTCTCTCGGCTTCACGGCTGGACGACGGTGGCAGCAGCTCGGCGGACCGGCGATGGCGTTTGGTGGCGGCGTTGCTCCGGCCGTGACAGGGAAGGGAACTCGACGGGCAGAGGGGGGTGTTCGGTGGTTAGCGGGTGGGAGGAGAAAAGAAGAAGAAGGGTTTGGGAATTTGGGGAAAATTTTGGGAAAATAAGATTTTAATTTGGGGATTTTTGGGTAAAGTAAGAATTATAGGTTAAAAGGAATTTAAATGGGGTAAGGTTTAAGAAATGTAATTGGGTTAGGTGGTTTAAGGGTTGGGCTGGTAACTTGCACACCTAGGTTCGAAGCTAGGTGGCCCAAAAGGAAAACGTTGGGTTAAGAGAGCATATTTGCAAGGCTTCGGGATCAACACTAGCAAGAATCTCTTAGAATAAACAATCAATTCACAAAGGAAACTCACTAGAAAAGTCTAACAAGGAAAATGCACATTTTCAAGATAAAGGTAGGCTTAAAGAAAGGTTACCCTCCGACTCAGCTTGGGACTGGCCCATCACAAACACTCGACCCAAAGGCCTCGGCACGAACTCCCTCCCGAGGTTCCACCGGATCCCGAGCTAGGTGGCAAAGCTCTTGTTCCTAGCAATCCTTTCCCACATTTCCTGCATGCAAAGGTCTTAACTTGATCTCCAGACTCTACTCGGGTTGATCCTTGAGGTGGGGAGGTGCGTTCCTTGCTCGGAAGTCTTGTCTCGGTTTCTTGAAACTGTGGGATCCACCGCCTTCATTCCTCTTCTTAGCGAGCTCAAACGACCCTCTCTGCAACTGTTGTACCCGGTAAAGATCGGCAACGCTCAGATAAGCCTCCTTCAAGGTCCTCGGCTTGCTCACGGTCAACGCCTTCCGGGCTTCATAGTTGAGCCCAGCCACGAACTTCTCAACCTTCGCGAGCTCGGCGGGGACTAGCATCCTTGCAAAGCGGGCAAGCTCCAAGAAGCGTTTGTGGTACTCCACCACAGAAGATGAGCCCTGCTGGAGATGTAGAAACTCCTCGTACATAGCAGCTCGGACATGCGATGGGTAAAATCGCTCTCTCATCCGGTCCTTCAAAGCTGTCCAGTCGAAGTCGGGCTGATCTTGACATGCGGGTCCCTCATGCACCCACCAGAGATCGGCCTCGTGACTGAAGTAAAAAGAGGCCAGCTCCACTCCACGCTCCTCAGGGCACCCTACAACTGAGAAGATCTTGTCGAGGTTTCGGATCCACTCCTCCAGTATCACTAGATCCTCCTCTCCGGCGAACACGGGTGGCCTATGTCCCGAGACTAGACGCCCCACATCCCGATGTCCGGCAGGCTGCGGCGGTGGAGCAGTATGGTTATTGTGCATAAGAGCTTCACTCAAGGTCTGCATGATCTGCGTCAGATGTTGCAAATTCTGAGCCAGTTGCTCGTTGGTTGGTGTCTTGGGCGTACGAGCGCATTGACGAGGTGGAGCCATAGCGATACATCTACAGCAACAACACGGTTACCGTAGGCACAAACAACAACGCACCCTTACCTGGCGCTAACTAAAAGAACGCTAAGCTAAGCAGAAACAACAAAGCAAATAGGGCAAACGTTAAACAACACACAGCTCACCACGCGTCCTAGAAGTCCTAAGTCTTAAACTCATAGATACATAAAGGCCAACTTATGGTGTCAAACCAAACTTAACTTCATAAAAGTCCAGACTCTAACATCCTAGGCTCAAACCTAGGCTCTGATACCAACTGCAACACCCCCAATTTTCACGACTTTTAAAAACCAATTAAAGCTTAGTAAAGAGATAAAGTCTACTCATCAAGATTAACGTAAAGCAGAAGCTAAAAGACAAATACGGGAGATGTTATGCCACACCTATACATCTATAGGTGCACAGGCTAAGTCTAACAACACATCAAAGTCAAGCTTATAAATATCCATGGCTCACAGGCCAAAAGTCTAACAAAACAGTCATATTGAGCTACACTAACTAATGAACTACTAGCGCGCACTCCAAAAAGCTACTCAAAACCTGTAAAGCAACATAAAGATAGGTGATGACACCCGGTCAGCGAACATTGCTGGTAACCTATCAATACGCGTTAAATAGCATAAATAGATATTATATGCCAAAACCATTTTCGAAACGGAATACAATATATATCATTTCAAAATACATAGAGAAAAGTCAACTTCAAAAACTCATTCACACTCTCAAGGAAAAAGGAAATCAACATCCTTTTGACAACGACAAGAAAAGAATAACAACTGTAAACAATACAACTCGAGATCTATTCTATTGATCACAAAGCAGAATACATCAAGACATGCTCAACAGCAAAGAAGCACATACACACATTGACAACTACATGCCACAGTGACAACTACATGTCACGAGATTCACAGTTCCAAGTTCCAACCTTATGCCCTGTTACAACGTTATGGCTACCCCCGGCCTTATTTCAGTTCCAACCATTACCTCCGAGTGCCACCCAGTACATCTGAGTCCAACCTTATGCATCCAAGGACCGTCGTCTCCCCTCCAACAACCTCCAACAAGACCACCTACACGTAAGTACACGAGGGTCCTATTCATTTCAATCACACAACCACCTACATATGAGCCTACGCTCAGGTCACACCACCAATTTCAATCATGGCCACATGAGGACCGCATCATTATCAGGAAAACCAAGGCCCCATAAACCTTAGTCATGCTTCCGTCAAATGGCACAACAATTACACACGTTCACATCATATGAATCAATCAATGGATCATATCACAACAAAGATATGAAACCGTACTCAACAACGAAGGATCACAATCCGACACCAAACGATGGTCAACACAAGTTGCCACCCTCAATAGGAAAGAACAAACCGCACACACTAGCATTTCAACATCAAACTAGCATGCTTATCAAACGGGTAAACCAAAATTAGTTCCATAGAACATTCAAGACTCAACATCAATCCAACGAATCACAAAGTTGGACCACAAGCACGATTCAAGACACCAAATTCTACATGGATTCCTAACATAACGTTCTAGACATACGAAACATCAAGAAGACTCTCAAATCGCCCAATAAAACAACATCGGGAGGTCAAAACATCAATACCAAGTCAAAACAATCACGGGGAACAAATCCCCGCCAACCAATGTACACGTTCCCCGCGGGTGGGGCCACGGGTGGACCTCCACCCGTGGTTCCGCCCGCGGGTACAAATGCCCACCACTCATGTACCTCGCGGGTGGGGCGGCGGGTGGAGCTCTGCCCGCCGTTCCGCCCGCGGGTACCGACCTGCACACCAAATAATCCCTTCGGGGATTTTCAACAACAAGTCCAAATTCAAGTCCAAAACACCCAAAATCTCACACAATACAAAAGTATGACTTGAACCCAAGAAAATAGCCAAGCAATGGCATACAAGAACCCTAATAACAATCTCTAAACATGCATTACCACCAGGAAATGCATCAAATCACACATTTCAACACAAGAATCACAAGTAGAAGCCAAGAAATCATCATATAAGTAAGAAAATTGGTTTTGTAAAGCATGGGTTACCTTTGTAGCCTAGAACTTCACTTTCTCACCCTTAAAAAGCTTCTCCTAAAGCTCTTCTTCAACACCAACTTCATAAACATACCAAAAGACAACAAAGATTCTATTTTTAGAAAAAGACAACTAAAAGGATTCTAAAAACACCAAGAGATCTAGGATCTTACCCTTCCATATGCTCAAGATTAGGAAAGTATGAATCTTGGAAGACAACTTGTAGGATTTAGGATGCCCAAATTTTGGCTTGGAGAAGAAGCTACCAAATTCCTAGAGAGAAGGTAGAGGTTTTGTGTTTAGAGTGTTGGTGGATGACATGAAAAGATGATGCTAGGTTAGCTTGGAATACAAACTTAAGGTAGAATGGCACATTTTCCCTTACTAAAGTTGGAAGAATAAGGAGACAAGGGAACAACCCACTAGGCATAAGGTACAACTCTTTTACCTTGGTTTACTAGTCAAATTCTAGTCCTCCGACTATTGAATTTTCAGGATTTAAGAATAAATTAACAATAAAACTGGGATTAATTATCTAATTAATCCTTAACTAGAGTTCAGATTTACGGGGTGTCACATGCACGATACAAAAATGTTCAATAAACAAAAATTTAAGGAGGTGAAATTATCAATATTTAGACTCTTATCACGTTTACATGCAATGAACTAAGATTGCGCTTGGTTGGAAATGCTTGTACTCTTGATGATGCATGTAGAGTCATTGGGAGCCAAATGAGAAGCTATGAAGATAAGAGCAACACCTCTTAGAGAGCCAAATTGTGGAGTGTTTAGTGTTCTTGGTCATTTCGACAAACAAAGGCAAAATTGGAGCAAAAGAGCAAGAAGTTGAAATTCCCGCACAAATCGTCCACTTCTTGGTATTTTGGTCATATCTCTTCGTATAAATGTCCAAATCAATTGATTTTTATATCATTGGAAAGCTATTTGAAGGGCTATAACTTTAATGAATACTATGAATGCTAATTCAAAGGTTTTGGGGGTAAAAAAATAGCTTAGAAGTTGAAGCAGGTGCACAGATTTTCGTCTGTGGCAACCACTGCCTGGTGGCCACGGGTGTGGCCACTGGGCAGTGTGCCCTGCGTTTCTGGCCACGGGATCAGCCAAACCCGTTGCCAGCCTTCTTTGGTTATATTTAACCGTGTTTTCAGTCATTTTAACAGGGTTCCGACCAATTTTAGAACCCTAGCTTCTCTCTTTCATTTTCTTTCATATTTTAGGGTTAGATTAGGCTTATATTTAGGTTATTAAACATTTTAGAAGCTTGAAAAACTTGAATATGAAGCTTGGATTTCATCATTTCACTTCCATTTCTATAGATAAGTTCTACCTCTTTTATTTCTATTTCCACTTTGCTATTTAATTTCTTGCTTTATTGCTTTGATCTTTATCCTGTGTTTGTTATGGAATTCCTTGTTGATTATGAATCTTGTGTTATTTTCATTATGGTTGTGTGATTAGTTCTCCTTGGAGGGAGGCAGGGATGTAGGTTAGGTGTTTGATGGATGACTTTGAATTGGTTGAAAAGGAATGTTGATGCTTGACCTTGATGTTGTTGATTGACATGTTTATTTGAGTCTCGATTAGGGACTGACAACCTAGTCTAAGTTTAAGGAGTTGATCAACCATGCTTTACCTTTGAGAAAAGGGGAGTGTGTGATGTTAAGAACACCAGGTGTTTGATGAAATGCCTCTTAGACATTCTTGATTCATGAGAATGTCCTTGAATGTTCTAGGAGTGTGGGATGACCTTGAGAAAGGCTTCCCTATCGTTATATGGCATCTATCATCTTTTTGTCCCCAATTTGGTTTCACTATCTTGACCTACCTTTAGTTCCTATCTACCTCCACTTGCTTATCATTTGTTTTCATTGTAATGTGTTGTTTGATATTGTGTTTGTATCCAAACCAACCCTTCCATTTGGCTAGATTTCTATGAGGAACATTAGTATTATGCTTGGAACACTAAAGCTCTACTCATATCGCCAATCCTTATGAGAACGATATCCGGTGTAAGGATACCCTCTTACACATCCACTCACCCAAAGTACTACTTAGTCAAAACGCTTAGTAAGTATATATATATATATATATATAATAAAAATTGTCACGTTAGATAGTGAAAAAAATTTTGTCCATATAACTTTATCGATATTGTAATGCACCCATTAATCTATAGGCAAAAGCGAACATCCCTCTCTTTGTCCAATAACTTACAAAGAAATTGAACACTCATTTTGAGCACTAAAGTAAATATTTTATGAATAATTAAAAGTAGTCAAAAGCTAGCTCATGAGTTAAGGTTTGGCCCCAACTTAAGTACCACTCCACAATCACCTTTCACTCCAAACTCTTCCCAGTTCCCTTTGGACCATGATACGGTACTCATGATACGGTACTCAAGCCAAGACCCTAAATCCACCACAAAAGCTAGCTCATGAGTGAAGGTTTGGCCCCAACTTAAGTATCACTCCACAATCTCTTGTGGAGTCGATGTGGGATCGTATCATGATAGCAACGTCTTTAGGAGAAAACTAAGAATCAATCTCAGCTTTACATTTGACAAAATTCAATGAATTAGATCAAATTAAAAAAAATGCGATAACATTTTCGTAATTCTCACCAACTTTACTATGTATTCTAGAACACTATACTTTACACTTATCTGAATTTTCCAAGAATGCACATTTAGTTGTTACAAAATGCACGTTTAGTATTAAAAAGTTGCACTTGCAAAAATGCTAAAGTGTGTTGCACAAGAGGATATCTATTGGAGGATGGGGGTGGGAACCGGGGTTTTCGTTTTGAGATGGCCTGGTTGCTGGATGGTGGGTGCTGTGGAGTGGTAGAGCAGGCTTGTGGTGACGGGGGTGGTGGGGCTTTTTGGATAGTGTGAGGC